AGTATGTGAAAAGTTTTGTACATTCTTATACTCAGATGACTTGTAAGTTCCTCGCTAAAGTGAAAAACGTGTTCATAATTAAACAGATCTAGAACTAAACACTGTCGTTTCCTACAAATAGAGTTTATGGCAAGCTGGGTGCTGGTGGCACACACCCGTAAGCCTAGCAGCTCCAAAGGATGAGATCTGAGGATCTTGGTCCAAAGCCAGCCCCAGCAGAAAAGTTCCATATCATGGGTCCTGAAGGCATCAATTTGCTTCTTTATAGGCCAGATCCCAAAGAGCCCAAAGCACAAGGTTCCAAACCCACTATTTATGGAGCTTTAGAATCCCAGCATAGACAGTGGCAGAAAGACTTGGCATTTTCTCAAGAAAATAGATCTCTCATATCTACAATCTTAAAAACCACCTAGCCAGGTTTGCCTTATTAATTCAACCACAGAATTGTGGCAAATAAAAATGAGGTTGTTCTTAAGTATATGAATAAATGTTAGAATGGTATGTTACATAGCAATAAATAAACATAAAAGAAATCTCAGACTCTGCACATGGTGAGTTATTTCATGAAGATTAGTGCACAGACGATTAGTGCACAATCTGAATGAAACTAGGTTTTTGTTGTTTGCCCTGATAATTGAGGTTACTGTTAGAATCCTAATTGTATGTCAAAACTGTAGCCTAGAATTGGTTCTTATAAAGGCGAATCAAGATGGCAGAGTAGTGACAGGGATTAACCTGCGCTCTCTCAGCTCAAACAGAGGAACAGGGCCTCTAGCACAGAACTCCACAACAAGCAAACTAGACCACATCAAACAAACTAGAAATAATCAGGGTTTGGCACTAACCAAGAAGATTCAAATTTAAGCTTGCTTCTACAAGAGGTAAAAAAACCACAGAAACCAAAGCAGTCACCCAGCATGGCGCTGCAGCTACTGGCTCCTGCTGGAGAAGCCCATGGAACTTTCTTTTCTCTGCTTCCTTCCCATTCCCCACTCCTTGTTTCCCGTGGCTCTCCTGTGGCCGCTCAACCTTACCAGCAGTGAGGCAACAGACAGCAACAACATACCTCCTCCTGTGGCTGAGTCTTGGAAATGGGTAAGGCAGCCTCAGCTGTACAGGCCTCGAACGCCATTTTCAGAGAGAAAGGACTCCAGGAGATGACCAAGGCCGGGTCTCTAACCCCGGGATGGACACAGGGGGCCTTGGCAATGGACTCACAGGGTCTCTGACCGGCAAGCAGACAAAAGCGGGGCCTCTAACTCGGGGAATGGACTTGGTGGGCCCTCTAACCCCAAGGAACGGTCTCCGCGGTTCTAATGCGGGAGAGTTCACGAAGTGGGCCTCTAAACGCTCACAGCTGCTCCACGCACACCACGCAGGGCACAGGACACTGCCCGTGCCTCGCTGGGCATCTGCGCCCAGCCTAACCACCTGTGCATCTCCCCAGAGGGACGCAGCTGGCCAACCACAGTGCCAGGGGCCTGTGCCCAACAGGGTCCAAAAGGCTACCAATGCAATCCCTGGCAGGATCCTGTTGGTTCCTACAGGTAGGAGGAGCTCTGGGCCCTTGAGCAAAAAAAAACCCAATCCTGTGCAATCCTGTGCTAGAAGCTTCCCCAGCCTAAGCGCCAGAGGTTGCACCCAGACATCCCCAAAGGCCCACTGGGTCATCTTTACGTGGGACACCCACTCATATCACCTTGGGTCTGTGCCTAGCCCTTCCTCCAAAGCACATA